GATACCCTACTCGGTGAATTTCCCACCTTCTTCCATACCTCCCCCCCATCGGACCAATATGCGCGCATACTACTTTGACAATCTCCCAGGTGACCAACGTCTACCTCACGACTGTAACCCATCTCGACCTGTGACGACTGAGCAACTGAAGTCGCTGGGAGTCGAGCTCTTTCATATTCCAGTGATCGACGGATACGAGGACAAGATCAACGCTATAGCCAAGGAGAGGGATTACAAGAACAGGGATATTATGAACGTTTCCAAGGAAAAGTTGGGTGATGTGAGTTAATTAACCAAAGGATTTCCTTGCTTTTTTACTTCTGATGACGACATTGAATGCAGGCCTACGAAGATAAAATCAAGATGTTCTACGCAGAGCAAGTAGCTTCCCCCCCTTAGGAATTACCAATATCTGACCACAAATTCTACCAGACATCTTCACGAAGACGAAGAGATTCGATATGTTATAAACGGCAGCGGTTATTTCGACGTTCGAGGTGAATTTCAATGATGATCGAAGTACTTTATCGAGAATATTCAGTAACCTATATCCCATTATCAGAAACTCCCACTGATTCTTGGATCCGCATTGCAATGAGTCCCGGAGATCTTCTCGTCCTCCCAGCCGGTATATATCACCGTTTCACATTGGACGAGAGTAGCAAGGTGGAAACAATGCGACTTTTCAAGGCAAGTCTCTCTTTCTCAAAATAAAAAAATCGGGTTTCAAATTGGCTGATCGAATGGATGATGCCTCCCTCGTTGTCTGACAAACTCGAAAATTACTATCAGGACGAACCTAAATGGGCTGCCTTGAATCGCAGTTCCGAAACAGATATTAATTCACATCGGATTGAGTATCTGAAGAGCATCCGGGTTGCTTGAAGAGCTAGTTAAAGAGTTCAATTTATGTATACGTTGGACGGCTTGTGATTACTGGTGTACTAAGTGTAAATGTAGGTCTCGTACTGCTACCCTTCGATTACGGTTGGGTTTCGTCCGAAGATTGTGTCGCGTTATAAATACATAAGGGTGAGGTACGAAAGGACCAAATAAGTTAAGGCTAGTGATACATGGATGCTCCTCAATTGTCTGTGAGAATATGTAAAATGTCCTGAAAGAATGGAATGCGGTGATGAGGGCTAGTCAAACACTAAAACGGTTCACCAGAAGCGTGAAGCCTCGAAATTTTGGCCTTATGTGACATAAACGAATGTGATTTCGTCACTTGTGTCTGATAGGAAGGGACGAAACGTTCACACGGTAACGAAGAGAGCGTCGTACTCGGTGATGGCGGTGTCGAAACGGCGCTCTCAAATGGATTGGGAAGAGAACGGATCGTCGGAGGTTCTTCCTGCCTTGCCTCTGGTTTCTGCTCCTTCTCGACAATCTCTGCCACTTTCTCCCGCCTATTCATCCTCCGTTTACTCGTGCCGCGGCGGGAAGGCAGAGGAGTGTTGGCCTCAGAATCACGGTGAGAGGATATAGAATTCGACCGCTCTATATGGGACACTTGGCTAAACTGTCGTTTTAATCCTGACTTTTGAGCACGTGATTTCAGTAAACCGCTGATAACCGAAGTCGGCATTCTGTGGAACGTCTCATCTTCATCCCCTCTCCGGTTCTCCCCTAACCGGAGAGATCGTTGGCTAATAAGACCAATCGGCAGATATGGAACTGGGGGAGGGGTTTCCCTACGTTCAAGGTCTCGGTGGGCTCGTGTACTCGCGGAAAATTGTGAATAAAGAGACACGGTGTCAACGTCAGAATCGCTCGACTCTGGAGTGATAGGCGATGGGGGACGCTCATACCGATGGGTGGCGGTTTGAGTCGAGAAGTGCCGAGACGGGTCGGGAGCCACTGTGCTGTTTTCTTCATTTAGCGTATAAATTGTGTGGGTTGCTGGGATACTTTTGGCCTTGAGTGATAATGGTGTTATAAGTGGTGGAAGGTCTTGGGGAGACAGCGATGCTCGACGTGCCTGTGGCTCCTCTCCCACCGGTAGAACAGACGGAGAGACATTTGAAGGGTTGTCGGGTACGGATATAGTGGGGGTGGTTCTTTGCTCCTCATGAAGTGGAGCCACGCCTTCAGGTTCGGAAATACGAGGTCCAACTCTATTCTCCATACCACTCGAACGAGGGGGTTCGTAAGGATCGAATGGATCGGGGGATTGAAGAGTATTCTCAGTTGGCATATTCTGGACCAGTAGGGGAGACAAAGCGCTTCTCCTCGAATGCTGAATCCCAGTTGACTTCTCGGTCCCCGAGTCCACAACGAAGTCAGAGAATGGAACCTGGCGGACCGTTTGCGATCGTCGCCACCATCGTTGAGAAAAAACAACGACACCTAGAAGGAGGACAATTCCAACGCTGATGAGTCCGAGGAGGAGGGGGAGGTTTGGTGAGTTACTTGAAGGTGAGCTTTCTGTAGGGGCCATTCTTGAGCGTCGGGGTAGAAAGAAAGACTAGAGGGGTCTTGTGCCGAAATAAATAAAAAAGCGGTATTCTCTGGCCGAGCCCATAATCCTTTATTGCACAGCCCGATTGGGCACGTCTAGTGCTAGTGGGTGTTTTACACTGCGGACACAGCAGCCCAGGAATTTGACAGTGAGATCCGAAATGAGACATCCTGTACTCGGGGTCATTTAAATGAAATGGTGGAGTAGAATTGAATATTTGAGCCTTGGCTGTTGAGCAATTTGTCCAAAAGAAAATAAATCGACATGAACCGAGAAAATTGAGGTTAGAAAAAGTCAGAACGCTAGGCGCTTAGGCATGTTGTAGGTGACGTAGTACTGCGTGACTTGGCAGCGACCATCTTCAATTCCGTCAAGATGGCAGAGGTGAGCGAACGAATACTTCAGTATCAAAGGAAACTGATGCGCTGTAGGATGATTCCCCGTGTCAAACACAAGGTGCAGTCGCTTCAATCTGTAGGTAACCTTTCTCACCTCGGATCTCAGCTTGCAGTCTTCAAACTTGCCTGAATAAAAACACGTATCAACCTGAACGATGTGACCGCTACCTGCGGGAGCTCTACCTCTGTTGCCAGAAAATGTACGATGAAAGTGACGGAAAAAGAGAGTCCACCGCTTGCCCAATGCCAAACGTAGTGAAACGGTGGCTTAAAGACCATCCGCGTTAAGTCGAGGTGGAGAAATCCTTTTGGCGCAAATTTATCACGTCGAGAGCCTAGGTGAGCTTGTTATTCACGGGGAACACACGGTTTCTGATAATTTGTGGTCAGGACCTACTCCACATTAATATCGCTACTTGCTCTGTACGGTAATCTTTTGGCCGGAAATCCATATCACCCCCTGATGTCTTTGGCCGATCAAGGGGAATGACGAATAAATATCAATTTATAGATGCTTACAGGAGTTAGACACCTTCGTCTCAACTCACACATTGCCTCTCCCAAAGTCGTCAACCATGGCCCACTCTACGTCACCCTCGACTTCGTCCTCTATACCGCAATCCTCCGAATACTCTTCACTCTTCCGCAATCCTCCAATGACTGTCACCCCGCCAACTACCCATGGGAAGTCGGTGACCTCGAAGACGAAGCTTAGTGTTTCGAAGCACATCCCCCAGCTGTTCAGAGCGACCAGCCAAACTTCACCGCCTGTCTCTCCAACAGAGTTCCCTCCTCCCGATCGTCGAGCTTCGACCGTGACAAGACGGCTTTCTCATCTGCGGAGAATCTCTTTCTCCAAATCTGCGCCGCGACCCCCCCTTACTGCTCAGATCCCAGAATGTTCTTCCAAGAAACCACACTCAGATGTCCATCATCGTCTAATGAAGCACGAATCACGGTGCCTACAATACATCTCTTCTGGAATATCCGTCGCTTTTGAAGACGACGCTCGATCCTTCGGTGTACGCGTAACCGACGAAGAACTCAGAACAGAGGATGGTCGTCGATTCTCGCACATCATCCAAATCAGTCGCACAAAAGACTTCTTCTCCCCATCTACCATCTCATACTCCACCGATCGTCACCTGACAAAACACCTCCATCTCTCAACGTTACCTCTGCCTCACGATCAATACGAACAACAAATGCAAGTTCTTTCATTGGATCCTGAGCTCACGCGGATCACTGCCGAGCAAGCAGACATCTATCTCGATTCAAGTTATTTTTCCCCCGAGAAGAGGTTCACGTTGGCAGATAATGGTGTTGCGAAGCTGGGATCCAGGCAATTAGCTGCGGCAAAGGAGTTTATAAGGTCGAGTGGAACAGGGGTGATTACTACCCAGACTACTCACCCTGGTAGAACCCTTCCACAGATTTTGGTTACAGCTCCTCGAGATCACAGGACGGACATTATGTCTGTGGTCGCCTGTTTCCTTGCGTCTACTTCTGATAGTTCCCCAGCCGAAGTGGTGAAAAGTATCGATCGACAGCGCGGAGTTAAACGTATATGGCAGGGGTGCATTTCGCGAGTAGGGGTGGAGTACATTCAGGGGGTTTGCTGAGTTTGACACAGCTCTAGGATTTTAGGGATATAGGTTACGGAACGTGAACAGATGTTGTACCATCTTTGGTCATAGGCGGGGATTTTTTTTTAGGGATTATAATAACTTCTGCGCCCCCTGTACAGTTCATACTCCTTTGATATCAAGTAATGAATCGACTTTTTTCGTTTTTCCAGATTTTCTTGTGCATAGTTTCTCTCCGGGGTTGCGTTATTCCAGATCTGTCCCTTCAACACCTCCACCTCCTGTTTTTGGTATCCTCCGCGCACGAGAGGGTTAAACCACCGGGTTCGAGTCCTGGCAGGACCTTCGTTCTGTTCCCGCTGACGTCTTAATAATCTTATGGATGATGGCGAACAGAGTGGAAGGAGGCCTACACGACGTCCCTCATTCCACTCAGCTCATTAGGTATCATTTATGACATCGTCCATGAAATTAGAACTATTATGATCTACACCGAGATTTCTGGGGGGAAAAAAGTAAATTCAATACAATAATTAAACGGAAAAAGCGAAAAAAAGGTCCTGCCAGGACTCGAACCTGGGTTAGCGGAAGTTACGTAACAAGGTCATATAATTTGTCTCAGAATCCGCTGTGATAACCACTACACTACAGGACCTTGGGGAGTAAGGACAAAGTCCTTGTATTATCATGGTCTCACAAACCTGAACCCCCAGTGTCAAAGGGCGAGAGTCGAGCAAAAAAAACTTAAAAGGCCTCATCTGAACATCCAGAGAATACTAGTACATTCAAGAATATAGACCAAGTATCAACAATACATCTGCACCGTCGCCCACCTCTCCCAACTTAGAGATTAGGATGGGAGTACTTGAGATCAGTAAACTTCCTCCTCCCAAGAACTTCAACAATTTTGTCATGAAATTTACCCTTCATTCCAACCGCCTTCTGAGCAACACCACCTGTCTGGGGTGCTGAAGGGTGAGGACGGGTGGGGACCATTCCTCGGGCTTTGATGAATTCTCTAGCAATAGCCTAAAAAGCGTTTTACCAGTTAGCAAACGATGAAAAGCGCGCGGTGCGAAAAGTAGCCAGAGAAGAAAGACTCACGTCGTTCTGCTCCGGCGAGAGTTTAGAGGTCATCATAGGGAGCTGGCTTGCCTCTTCCTCCTCAGCATGCTTGATGAAGTTGGTGACGGCCTTGGTCATAGTCTGATCGTAGTTGGGGTCATCGAGCGATGCATCGTCAGCTTCGTAGACGAGTCTCTTCACTTCCGCGTGCTCCTCTGTCAAAAATCATCGTCGTATCCAGTCAAGGATCGAAAAAGGTCACGGTGGATTTCCAAAAAGCTAACCTTTATTATGTTCGGCGGTTTCGCCCAACCCGTATTTCTTGAACTCGTTATAGAGGGTAATTTCCTCGGCGTCACTGTGAATCGCCATCTCTCGAATCAAAGTGTTGGCAAGGATGCCCTTCTCGTCTTTAGTAGTCGCAGCTTTGAACCTATCAAACGAGAGCTTGTCAGCAAAAAGACCTTCGAATCACTACAAGCTCGAAAGCTGACCTCTGGCACGAACGTTATCGTGGTCGAGTTTAATTTCGGTGGCAATGTTAAGCATCCCGGTCGGGTTTATGCTGGCCATGGTTCGTAAAGCAAAAGTGGGTGATAAAGTATAAAAATGAGGTGGTACTCTTGAGCGTGTGGTTGCTCGTGCAACAAAGGGAGTTCTTCGAGAAAGAAGAGAAATTGTGAGACTCATTGGTGGTTATGGCCCTTTGAAGTCTTAATAGATCCATTTCAACACCCTTATCGGGACGGGTTGAAGAAGGAAACGTAGTTATCGGCGTCATGGATGCGAGAAGATATTACACCTCTTCGTTGAAGGTGGTCCAGTTACGACATAAATCAGTGCGAAATGATTGGTCGATGAATTTCCGATGCTATGATTGGTGGACCTCGAACGCTGATCAGTCTCGGCTAATGCCGAGCTCAAACTACACCACAACCTCATCGATCAGGACCTCTCGAGTTTGCGAAGTTTACGCAGAGCCCTACGAGCTCATAACTACACTGTATGGAGATTCCGAGCGACGACAACGAAATCAAGCCATCCTCCATCGCGATCCTTGATTCTGTGGCGATCATGACAGAGCCCTATGCGTAGACTCTGACCTCAATCTCGCTTTGACGTGTCATCTATGTTTCGTTGAAGACTCACCAGACTCAAGTATACTGAAGGCCATAGCTCAGGCAGGGAATTCTACAATCGACTTCAAGTCCAAAAAAATGGACGAAATATTTGCGTCAAACTCTGAGACGGAGCCCGACAGATCACGAACTACTAATACACTGGTAGATATACACTTGCGACGGATCCGGATTTCGCAGGACAGACGTCGCCAAAGTTGCTGTCAATCTAGAGCTCAGGACGCGCATACTTCACTTCAACAAAGCTCCTCTCCGCAATAGACCCAGCAAGCTTATCATAAGTTCTACCGTGGAGTCCAATGGCCTTCTGAGCAATGCCTCCCGTCTGAGGAGCATCAGGGTGAGGGCGGGTAGGGACAAGCATCCGGGCTCCAACGAACTCCCTTGCCATGACCTACAGCGGACACCATTCCAGTCAACGTGGAGGAAGCTGACTCGGAAAACTAAAAATCACGTCGCTTTGCTCCCTAGTAAGCTTAGACATGATCTGAGGAAGCTGTTCATTCTTCACTTCTGAGTGCTCTGAGTCCTCTGTTAAAAGGTCCCGTCGAGTGAGCATGTCTCGTCATGGTTATGTGACGACAACACTGGGGCAGACCTTTGTTATCTTGAGCGACTTCCGCCATTCCAACAAATGCAAATTCATTGTAAAGAGAGACTTCCTCGGCATCACTGTGCATCGCCATCTCCCGAACGAGCGTGTTGGCGATAAGACCCTTTTCTTCTTTCGAAGTCGCGAATTGGAATCTAAGGGCATACAATCAACATAGGCCGAAGCAAAAGACTGGCCTTTGGAATAGATCGCAAACGTTTTCGTGGTCAAGTTTGATCTCTGTGATGATGTCGAGTAAGGCCATAGTCAGTACGAAGGAGAGTGCTGAAGAGCAGTGAGGTGAAAGTGGGAGAATCCCCCGCAACGATGGTCCCGCATTTTATACGGTCCATGTTTCATTCTTCAAAGGAATGCGCGTAGTTGACCGCGTCATGAGTGCGAAAGTAAACGACATTATTAAAGTTGCTGGTTGAAGGATGTCTTTTAGTCCGATGTCAGGAGAATTAAAGGTCGGCAAATTCCTCGTAATCTGATTGGTGGGTTTTCTTCGAGGTGAAAATCGCGCCCTCCCATTTTTACGTCAAACGTGAAACGGGTGGTCGTCAAAGTGTTGTATTCTAGAGCTGAGACTGTGTGTGCTAGCAAAGCTCCCCCCAGCAATGGTTTCGGCAGGTTTATCATAGAGCTTGTAGTTATTTCAGCAGCCTCCCGAGCAATCGTCTGAGGAGCATCAAGATGTGGGCGGGTGGAGACAAGCATTTGAACTCTCATGACATCCCTTTGCCATAGCTCATATATAGCAGAAACGGACACCAAGTTTCAGTTATTATGGCCTCTGGGGAGAGACCTAACTCGGGAAAAAAGGAGAACTCATATTGCTCTGTTCCCTAGTGAGCTCGGATGCCATCTGAGAGAACTGGCCGTCCTCTTCCTCAGAATGCGTCAGGAAAGTAGCCATGGCAGTGGTCATATTTTGATCATACCTGGATCGATAGAAACCTGGCCAACCTCATAGACGAGCTTCTCATGCTCCTTCATCGGAAAGCTGAGCGATTCCCGCTAAGGTGATGTGTGTGAAGTTAGAGTTAGAAGGAGAAACTTCGGCATTGGTGTGGATCATCTTCTCGCTATTGATATCTACGTATATTAGGCGCGTGCTGTTGAAACCTGGCCCCGGACCCAGGACCCAGGAACTGAGCGCTGAGCAAACGGACTGTAATGGGTTGGATGCGAGTTGAGGTTCTCTGGGGTGTAGATGTAGATAGAAAGTCGTCGGATGCTCGTTGACGCCAAAGCGTAGTTTCCTCACTTGAGACCGCTTGGGCTCTCAGTTAGATGGTAATAGAGCAGGGAAATCGACCGCGTACTCTACTTAGTTTCTTTCCTCCTTGTCCCCGCTGCGCTAAAAGAATTTTCCGTTTACTTCGCGGTTATCGTCTGGAACGAGTGCTACTGGTTGCCAAAGCCTTGGTTCGAGGCGAATATAGGTATGTCGAATTATTGGTGTTGAAGGGTGGGGTAGATCCTGGTAAATCTTCAAAATATATCAATGATTAACTGCGATGGTGGTGGAGCGAAATGGGCGCGTCAGTCACTGTGCGCCGGCCAATATTTAGCGTGCGATAAATGTAATCGAGAATAGCAATGAGAAAGGGTAAATTTTGCCGCCCGCAAATCTTTACATTTTGGGCCGAAAAATGTGGTTGAAATTCTGGATGAATTGTTTACTTTCCCACCCGAGAACCTTGTACTTTATCGGCCGTGAAACTCATTACCCGCTTTATTTTGGCAGTAGATGAGCGGGCGCTCATCGGGTAATTAGTTTCACGGTCGTGAAAGTAAAAGGTTCTCGGACATGGGAAAGTAAATGATTCACCCAGGATTTAAGCCGCATTTCTTAACCAAGAATGTAAGACTTTCGGACCGGCAAAATTCATCCTTTCTTATTGCCATTCTCGATAACATTCATCGCACGCTAAATAATGGTCGGCGCACAGTGAGTGTGGCGGCGCGTCGTCGTCACAACTCACGTGCCTCCCCCTGTCTTCTCCAAGCTCAAAAACGGTAGCTATTTCTTAAATCCATCTATTTGCTATATTTTCTTCGCTAAATAAAGGATCAATATCATATTCAGCTATCTACAGGTTTGGAAATGTCTAAACCTACTACTGAGGCCCCGTTATCTCCCCGATCTTCAGAGTTCAAGGCACTCCGTCCAAGCTGTCGTAGGGCGATGGGCAAAAGATTTACAGCCCTCTACAGCAAAAATTAACCCGCGTCTCTCATGTGCCTCACTGCGACCTTTTTTATTCGACCAGATTGTTTCGCTCGTTCATTCATCAGCCTCCCACTCATATCGCGTTTGATTTCTTGATAGCTTGATGACTGCCATCTCGAATCGTATCGCGATGAAGTGTTTTGCCGGTGCATCCAAGGTCAAAATTGGCTTAGGAAACTTCTCAAACGTCGAGGGGGACCAACACAACAATTACTACAACTACTACGGGACCGATAAGAAAAGTAGAGTCGGCGAGAACTTGCCGCGGCTTGAAGAGGCATGTGTCCCTACAATCCTCAATTTTTCGTCGGATTCTGATAGATCATATCGCCCTTCAAGTTTAACGAGATCAAGATGGGGAATATCCTCAAAGTCGGAGACATCGGCAGACCTTGGCCGCGGGGTCCAAGTGCTGGGGAAGTGACCGTTGAGGCTGCCTTCACCGCAGAGATCATTCCCCACGGCCCGCAAAAGAAGTTTACTGTGAAGACATACCACGGGGGAAAGGCAAAGAAGGTGCGAAGACGGGTATGGTCCTCACCGGCAGGCTCACAAACCTCCTATAGGCATGGCGACAAGATTTCTTGCGGTGCTCTGACTCGGATTGGCGCCGGTACGCG